AATTGGTTATTTCAGAGTAAGTGAAATATGGTGATGCCATCCCGTAGATTCATGTAGAAAAATGTAATTTTCCCTCTTTGTTGTCTGTCAAACATATACATATGTCCACACAAACACAAAAACAAGAACATTAAGACAAAAATGTGCAGTTACACACACAAGTGATCCACGTGCTTTTTTCATGATCCCGAATAACAACACAGTGAGGGTATGTTTCGATAAGAATGATGAAAATGATGTGTGTGTGTGTGTGTGTGTGTGTGTGTGTGTGTGTGTGTGTGTGTGTGTGTGTGTGTGTGTGTGTGTGTGTGTGTGTGTGTGTGTGTGTTGTGTGTGTGTGTGTGTGTGTGTGTGTGTGTGTGTGTGTGTGTGTGTGTGTGTGTGTGTGTGTGTGTGTAATCAATAATAACATCCGGCATCAAATCATAAACAGAAACGCCAAATGAACTCTTCTCCTCCTCCTGACCTACAGTGCCACCCCAAAAGCGAGGAGAAGATGGCACCCGACACCCGCGTCATAGCCATGGACCTGATGACCAAATCCCTCGCAGAGATCGTGGTGAAGAAGTTGGAAAATCCCATCGTTATCTACATTCCCAGAACGCCCAGTAGGAATGGGAATGTGCCCTTGCCAGAGGTAGAGAGAGAGAGAGAGAGAGAGAGAGAGAGAGAGAGAGAGAGAGAGAGAGAGAGAAGAGAGAGAGAGAGAGAGAGAGGAGAGAGAGAGAGAGAGAGAGAAGGGTGGGGGGGGGGGGGTAGGGAGGGGGGGGGGAGGAGGGAGAGAGGAGGAAGAGAGGGAGGGAGAGGGAGGAAGGAAGGAGGGAGGACGAGAGGGGAGGAAGAGGGAGAGTGAGATGGAGGGAGAGGAGAGTGAGAGGAAGGAAGAGGGAGAGGGAGGAAGAGGGAGAGGGAGGAAAGGAAGGAGGGAGAGATGAGATTGAGAGAGAGGAAAGGAGGAGGGAGGAGGGGGAAAGGAAGGAGGGAGAGATGAGATTGAGAGAGGAAAGGAGGGAGGGAGAGACAAAGAGAGGAAGAAAGAGCGTGGGAGAAAAAGAGAGAGGGAGAGAAAAGAGAGTAAGAGGAGAGTGGGAGGGAAAGAGAGAGGGAGAGAAAAAGGGAGTAAAAGAATGAGAGAGGGCAAAAGAAGTGTGTGTTTTGTATTTGTTCTACTGTTACCTATCGTCTATTTTATCTCTAATTCATTTCCTAATTCATATATAGGATTGTTAATGCAATATATATAGCTTACACATATATCTTTCAGTTCATATCTCTGTTAGTTAATAATCCTCTCTGTCTATTTACAAATATTTACGAGTATATATATCTGTCTTGATCTCTCTAATGTCTATTCACCAATCTGTCTATTTAATATATCTGTCTATATATCTAACTTAGCTATCTGTCTATTTATCTATATACCATGTAATTTATCTGTCTATCTATATACCATGTAATTTATCTATTTATCTGTATCCATCCAGTCATCTGTCTATCCATCTAGCTATCCACCCAAAGCCCCCCCACACCTCATTCCATCCATCCACACCCATCCGTTCATCCATTCCATCCATCCATCCATCCATCCATCCATCCATCCATCCATCCATCCATCCATCCATCCATCCATCCATCCATCCATCCATCCATCCATCCATCCATCCATCCACCCACCCACCCACCCACCCACCCACCCACACCACACCACCCACCCACCCACCCACCCACTCCACCTACTCACCCACCTTTTCCACCCACCCAAATACCCCACACCCTTCCCACCTCATCCTCATCCATCTATCCATCTATCCATCAATCCATCTATCTTTACGTCCCCTCATCTGCACCTCGCTTTCCCTCAGTCCCCGAAAAGGTCAACGCAGCCAAGGCGAGGTCAACCATCTTACCGGTCGTCTACAGCAATTTCAACGTGTCTCATGTAAGTCTTTGGAATGCGATGTCTATGCCGAACCAGCGATCGATGGAAATTTATTCATTGTAAAAAGAAAAAAAAAGAAAAAGAAAGTAAAAATGATGGGGAATGGGGAAAGGCTAGGGGAAGAGATAGAGGGAGGGGAGAAGGAAGAAGTAGAGAGAGAGAGAGAGAGAAAGAGAAGAGAGAGAGAGAGAGAGAGAGAGAGAGAGAGAGAGAGAGAGAGAGAGAGAGAGACGAGAGAGAGAGAGAGAGAGAGAGAGAGAGAGAGAGAGAGAGAGAGAGAGAAGAAGAGAGAAGAGAGAGAGAGAGAGAGAGAGAGAGAGAGAGAGAGAGAGGAAAGGAATTGGTACCTCTCTCCCTCTCCCTTTCTCTCTTTAGCAGTGAATCAATTAGTTTATTTACTTTATTAGTTTTCTATTCGTATATTTCTTTTTTTCAGAATTTGTTTATTAATTCGTTCATTTATTCACCTTTCTCTTTTCTTAACATACAGAGGGATATAGGGATTAAATTTTCATTTCTTTTTTCATTCATTTTCACTTTCATTTCAGAGGGATTCATTTT